ACATGCTGTGGAAGAGAGCCAGAGATTAACCTGTACAGTGGTGAACCTTCCCAGGAGTGGACAGGGTACCAAAATTACTCTATGAGTGAATCAATGACTCATCCAGGAGATCACAAACAACTGCAGAACAGCATCTAAAGACCTGCAGGCTTCACTTGCTGAGACATGGCCAAAAATGGTGGTGATAGTGTGATGGTCTGGGTCTTCTTTGCTGCTTATGAACCTTTGTTTACTTCCCGTAACTGATGTAACCACGAATTCTACCAGATAATCCTGAAGGAGAATGTCCAGCCATAGTTTGTGTCCTGAAGGTCAAGCATGATCAGGTTATGCAAAACACCACTAGGAATGGTTCAATAGAAAAAACAAACACGTAGGGCTCTTGGCATGACTTTAAACAATCCATTCATGCTCAAAAACCCTCCAATGTTGCTGAATCAAATCAATTTGGCAAAGGAGAATGGGCCAAAATTTCTCCACATTGATGTGAAAGACTCATTACCAGTTATTGCGAACACTTGGTTGTATTTCTTCCTGCCAAGGTGGCACAGTCAGGTATTTGGCAATATCTAATTTTTACTTTTCTCCTTTTATAAATGATGCAAAAAACTAAGAAATCGGGAAAAGGGAAAATGCTTTTTCATGATGCTGTATATTTTGAGGTATATGGACAGTCAAATACCTCAAAAATGTCATGTTACAGGGCGAACAGGGCCCGCCTGGCCCACCAGGACCAGAAGAAGTTGTAGAATATCCTCCACAATTTTTTTCACCAAAAGGAGACAAGGTGAAGGCTTTTTTTTCTTAAGGCATTTGATTTTTAACTTCTTCATATTTTTTATGCAGATGAAACAATATTAATCCATGTTTTTGATCATTTCATGTCTACCCATCCATACAGCTTTTTAATTTAATTTACAAGTTGCAGTTCAAACTCTACTCTTCCATCTGGATTTTTGTTTTATAATTTCATCTTTTTTTTTGGTCTTTCTCCCAGGGTGACAAAGGTTTTCCTGGCCCATGTGGACTAAAGGGCTTAAAGGTGTGTTTTGATATGCCTGTGTACCTAGAAGTCATATCTCAGAGGAAAAACAAATAACTCAATTATTGTTTTTTCCTATCCAGGGTGGTAGTGGCGACTACTACCCTCACGAATTGAAGGGAGAGCAAGGAGTCCTCGGATTTGTCGGATTTCGGGTAAATGATTTAAATGACACTGGACAATACACTTAGACAAAGACAAGTGAATATACATAAAAATGTTTTCAGCTCATTCTTTCCATCTGTAGGGTCCTCCAGGATTACCTGGCAGGGAGGGACTAGCAGGACCTGAGGTGCAGCTTACATATGTTGTTATTATGTCTTACTATACTTAGGCATTCTTTCATATTAAATACATTAATACATTTTCAGGGTTCTCGAGGACAGAGGGGACTTCCAGGCATCAGTGGAAGAACTGGACTAAAGGTGACTTTTGTTTATACATCAGTGAAATCAGTATTACAATTTTAAGAAAAACAGAATGCCACTGGGAGGCAAAGTTAAAAGGCTTGGTTTGATATAGATATAGACACTGTTGTTGGTTCTTCAGGAGACACGTGGTTAGCATATTTGCTATACATTTAGAGAAGGACTGTAAATGAATTACTGACATCTGGTGGTTACTTAGTGGAAAGGGTTGCTAACTGTAAAACTCCAATGAAATTCCTTGGTCCGTCTTCTCACCTGTAGAAAAAAATGCACATCGGTGCCATTTCTTTTCCTAATCATTCTTTCCATCTTACACAGGGTTACCCAGGAGATCCAGGTCTCCCTGGTGATACAGTCCTTCTTAATGGAAGTCATGTGAGAGGTGAGACCACAGCTTCATCTGTACTCTTACTACTACATTTTTTCCCGTTTTTGTTTACTTGTAAAATGTAACAATACATTAGTTTCATAAATAAAAATTTCTGTCACTCTGCTGGGTGGAGCACTCAAGTTCTTTCTTTCTTTCTTTCTTTCTTTCTTTCTTTCTTTCTTTCTTTCTTTCTTTCTTTTAAGTTGTTTTCAGCTTGAATTATGTCAGTCACAACTACACTACACTGCGATTATATATTTACTAAAATAATAAAATAACACAGCAATATATGTAGAGTATCACTTTAAATAAACGCCTTTAAGTCACTGTTTTGCTTGTAGATTTATGGTTCAAATACAAATAGGTCCATAAATCCAACACCAGAGGCACTGACTTTAAAACAGATGGTTAAGATGGAATTAAGGTTTGTACTTTTATTCAAGGGATTTGACAAATAAATTAGCATTAACCATTTTCATATATATAGTTCTCCATCTTCAGATGCTCAAAGGTAATTGGACAAGTTAATGATATTTTAAATACTTGAGCCTTTCTGAAAAGTAAATGACTTGAACAACTCAAAGTCTGTTATCTGCGTCCTTGATCACAAAGTAATCAGTAAACAGGCCTCACCTGGCCATGAAACTGCATGTCCATTAACTCTCCAATTACTTCTGAGCCCCTGAACATGTCTAAATGAAAATCTGCATTTTCCTTACATCTTGACCAATATGGTGGTGTACAAAATTACAACTTAGTTTGTAGTCTGATTTAACTCAGTGTAGTCCGATTCACCTTAATGTATAGTAAAACAATAATTACTTTATGACTTTATGTTTCAGGTGCTAAAGGTGACCGTGGATTTCCAGGACAACCTGGACTCCCTGGGGACACTGGGTCCATGGGCATTCCTGGGCCCTCTGGCCCACCAGGGTTAGCAGGTCAGACTTCAGACTTTGCTTCCTTTCATTGATGGCGAAGTCTTGTGTATTTTGATTTAGTACTTATGCCGTATATATATCACTCATAATAATTATGATAATTCTTGCAACCTGACAGTTGTTAAAATACTCTGTTGCTGTGGAAATTACTATGTCAGTAATCAAAGATTCTCTCTGCTACTGATGGTCTGTGTTTTCACAGTTGGAAAACTGATCCTATATCATTTTAAATTTTACATTTTCATCTCACACCCTTATAGAGGGCCAGGGTTTGCCTGGTCCACGAGGGCGCCCTGGTCCTAAAGGCTACAAAGGAGAGCCGGGAAAGTATGATGACTATTCCATTGCAGTACCCAAGGGAGCTAAAGGATTCCCGGGACCTAAAGGGGCCACAGGCCCTCCAGGCCCCCCAGGTATGCTCTCTCTGCTCTTCGTATATAATACACAGGACAAGACTTTCATGTGTGCAGAAGTTAATCTCACTGATGTATTTATTTTATTACTTGGATTGTCATCACTTTTTATATGTGATCACTTTAATGATGACTTACCTTCTGGTTTGTATGTCTCTGTATTTGCCTGATTGGATTGGATTAGGCTGTGGAGGTAATTTTTTAAAATTATATTTTATCTAAAAAATTAAAACTTTTTTTAAATTTAATATAATTTTTAATTTATGAATAACTTATTTTCAACTAATGTCTGTCTTTTCAATCTCAAAGACTACTACTGTGAGCGCGGTGACCCTGGGGACCCTGGTGATCCTGGACCCAGGGGATCTACTGGAAACAAAGGGCTCAAGGGAATTAAAGGTGAACTGTGGCTGTTTGTTTGCATTAAAAATATAAGCCAAGACTCTGTTCTTCTTTGTGAATACTGGTGTTGAATTCAAAAGCAACATGTGGTGGAAGACGAGCGTCAGTGATTCATTTCTCAATATAAACATCTGTGTGAGTTCGTATGAGCAGGTCTGGGGACTAAATTTAAATTCAACCAAATTTTGTTATTTTTGTCTTCTATAGGTTGTCCAGGGAATTGTGAATGTATCTCTGGCAGGGGGAGCCCAGGGTCTCATGGTCCACCTGGTTATCCAGGCCCCCCAGGATTACCTGGAACTCAAGGACCAAGAGGGGACCCAGGTCTGAAAGGAGATGAGGGTTCTCAAGGACCACAAGTAAGGACAGTGGGACTAAAACTGTGCAAATAAATATCATTTGTGTTATTTTTGTTATGCCCACAATTATGTGTGCTTGCAGGGCTTTCAAGGATTTTCTGGTTTAAAGGGACAAAAAGGAGAAAAGGGTGATGCTTTTGCAGGAGGTGTAAAAGGTGAGCGCCTCTCAAAAATTTAAATTGGTTCAGTTACGATGGCAACCACTGCACATTGGATTAGGCAAAGACTGTTTAATAGTACTATACCTTTAAATAAGATACAGACTGTATTTGTTTTTCTGGAGTGTTTAAAGCCAAATCTCTATTGGTTGATTTTGTTACTTGAAGGTGCCAAGGGTTACATAGGTGACCCAGGATATGGTGGTCCTCCTGGAGGAACAGGTGGGCCAGGACAGGATGGACGAGATGGCATTGTGGGAGAACCCGGGCCACCAGTGAGTCTGTATATTAAAGTCCAGTATTGTGCATCATGTGACAAATCTTTTAAAAGTCTCTGCTCAAAGACACTGCATATGTAAAAATTATCCACTTTGATACTCTTTTCTACACTTTTGATCATGTTGTGTTTTTTCAGGGTGATGGTTATAGAGGATTACCTGGTCCTAAAGGTTACCCAGGTCTTCCTGGACCCAAAGGATTTCCTGGACAAGCAGGTCCCCCGGGTGATGGTTTACAAGGCCCCAAGGGAGAACAAGGACCTAAAGGAAATCAGGGACTTACTGGCATACCAGGAATTCCTGGACGACCAGGACCTCCAGGTCAGGTTTCTCACGATTTGTCATTAAGAAAAGTGTCATGCGATTTAAAAACAAACAAACAAGCCACAAAAAGCTGTATTTGAATACAGGAGAAACACAGAGATGCTGTCCTGAAGGTGAGATTGGTCCCCCTGGTCCAAAGGGTGAGCCAGGTTCACCAGGTAAGTCTTGCAGGTGCTAATTATTTATTTAAAAATGTTCACATGTTTAATCTGGAACACTAAATTTAATCAGAAATCTAGATTTAAAAAAATGTCATTAATAAATTATTTAGTGCTTTCTATTTATAAAGCTTGTTACTTCATTATTTTCAAAGTTACACAGAATGGACCCTACAGTTACTACTACAAGTGATTTGTTTTGTTTTATTTTTGTGGCCTCTTGTAGGGATTCCAGGTCAGCCAGGGATCAATGGTCCTCCCGGAGAGCCAGGATACCCAGGCACTAAAGGCATGAAGGGAGATGATGGTGGAGCTCAGGGGACTGGACCACCAGGTAATGGCTGTAAAAACAGAGCATTTGTTGAAGCTTGTGGACCATCAGTTATTCATATAGTAGGGAATATTCCTTAAATCTATTAATTCTAAAAAAAAAATTAAAAAAAAATGTTTTTAATGCTTATAAATCTTTCTTAATTATAAAAGGACCTCCAGGTTTAATTGGTGAACCAGGTGAACCAGGTTTCAGGGGAATTAGTCTAGAAGGCTTTCCTGGCCCTCCTGGTTTTCCTGGACCACCAGGTAGGAAAGGGCCTCCAGGAGATGTCTTCTCAACCAGGCCAGGTGCAACTGGCATACCTGGCCCTCCTGGGAGTATAGGCTATAAAGGACTCCGTGGAATTCCTGGAAACCCAGGAATACCAGGTAAGATTAACTTATCTGAACTCAAACTAATCTCTAACAAATGGGATTCATGGCCTGTATTACAATAATATTCAAAAGAACAGAACAAAAACAAGGTGCTTTGCATTAGTTCTGTACATTTAGATTAGTTGACTGTTGGTCTTTTGCAATTACAGGCCCACAAGGCCAACCTGGACAACCAGGCTATAAAGGAGAGCCAGGGGTCGATGGTGACCCCGGAGTCCCTGGACCAATAGGCCCACCGTGCTCACAGTGCGAACTCATTGGCCCACCCGGACCCCCAGGACCTCCAGGAAATCCTGGAGTGAGGGGAATACCAGGTGAGCAAACTGCAGCTATGCCCCAAATCATGGATAGTCACGTCTTTTTATTCATATCTACCTTATCTTCGACAGCTTTACAAATACAAGTACAATTTAAAACTTTACATTTGTTTACACTGAGTACTTCAATTTTCATATCAACAGGAATATCCCACACTATTGTCACGATAAATAGTATATTTGTTTTGTTTTTGAGCATATAAACAGTTTGCAAAAACTTATTTAGTAAAAGTAGAAAAGTAAAGCAAAATACAAGACAATGCAAAATTGCTTCGCATCTGTTTAGTTTCACTAGAAAAGAAGTTGGATGAAGTACAAATCCCATTTCTGCTCCATATGTTAATAATGATTATTTATCTAGTTTCCTTATTGATATAAATTTCAATAACAACAAAAAATATAAATACAAAATATATTCTCTGTGTGATATAAAACTGATCATATATTTTATATCGACACATCAAAGACAAATCGCTGCAATTTGTGGACTGTAATATATAAATAAACATGGAGTAACACTATTTTTAATACTTGTTTCATCTTTTAATTTTTAGATGTTCATAAGTTGCTAATCTATGAAATAACAACACTGACCTCTGGTGGCCAGTTTGTCCATACATAAGGAGGAACAGTCAATCAACTTCTGTGTCAATATATGAGTATATTCATGCTCATTTATCCACGTCATCTGACCATATATTTTGTCACTGAATTTTATGACGTTGAATAGGAAACACTGGGCAGATAGGTCTGAGAGGCGATATTGGTCCACCTGGACATGGATGGAAAGGATCAAAAGGTGTTCAGGGTCCTCCTGGTTTACCAGGACCAGCTGGACCAACAGGCTCCACTGGCCTCCCAGGAGATCCTGGAACCGATGGGTGGCCAGGACAGAAAGGTCAGCCGATGGTATCTTATTGGATAATTATTTAAAACCTTATAAGCATTTTATAAAATTCAACAGGTAATTCCATTCACTTTCCAAAATCCAGTTTGTTTAACTTAATAGCCCATCACTTATCTCATTTACATTCAACAGCTAGCTGGTAAACAGCATGCTTAATTAAATCTGTGAACCTCAGTGTGCTGATTAAAGCAAGGTTTTCTGTTCAATTTCTATAGGTGAAAGCGGGTATCCTGGCAGGGCTGGAGAAAGAGTTTTCCCAGGTCGCCCTGGACCTCCTGGACCGAGAGGTAAACAGGGTGAAAGGGGCCTTAATGGCCGCCCAGGTTCCCTAGGGTATCCAGGACCAGATGGTAATAAAGGTAAGTGTGTAAATGTGTCGTGTCTCTCTTATTTTCCTAACCTAAACTTATGGGTATCTTAGCCTTTTGTTCTTTATTTATAATATTATTATTATTATTATTATTATTATTATTATTAAATATTTGGCAGAATAAAAAGCAGAATATTATTATTATTATTATTATTATTATTATTATTAGTTGAAACAATCAAATATATTGAACTACGTACCTGTACTATTCAAACTTTAGACAAGTCTACGACAAGCAAAACACACGTATTCTTACGAGTGAAGAACCTCTAAAGGAATTTGGTTTGCAGGAAATTTTTCTGTTTAGTAAATTTAAAAATACAGCTATTAGGAATAAATATATACTAAATATAGCACAGTGTCCTGTTGGAGCCTTGACCAGGTTGTATTGTACCATTTCTGACAAATGGTGGAAATATCTGACTGTATGTAAAGGAAAACACAGAAATCAGGCACTAGGCAAACTTTTAAGATGGAGTGGAATGTAATAATGGGAAGCTGTCTTCTCTGTTGGGTTCAAATAATTATTCTCAACTTTTTTTACTTACTATTATTGTTGTTTTATTAGTCTAGAGAAGCTTGATTTCTCTTCTGTTTTTTTGTTTTCTGAGATTCAAATGCGATGGTCAGAGGTTTGCGAGTTGAGAGTTATGGCTAATATCAAAATACCTATTTTTGTATGTTTAATCTACTCTGATGTGCTTGTGGCTCCTGTTCACAACAATAATCAAATAATTTAATTCACTTTTATCTATATAGTGCCAAATCACAACAGTAGTTGCCTCACGGTCCTTTTTATTGTAAGGTTAAGACCCTTGGAAGTACCAAATGTAGTCTTTTTCTTTAAGTTATTTTCTCTCACTTCTTGTGTACTTTATGGAAGAAAATGGCAAGCATTTCATTTCTGTTGTCTATTCAGGTTTACGGGGAGACCCTGGAGATCGAGGAGTGACAAGTCCAGTGAATATAAGGAAAGGTGCACTGGGTCATCCAGGAATGATGGGGCTACCTGGCGAGCCTGGACTTCAAGGTAATGTAGTTTTAATTTAACCTGCATAAGTCTTTAGGAAACAGCTTTATTCTTCTTTGGTAGAAAGACTGTATAGATGGACAGTGATAGACGGTGCAAAACTAAACAATTAGCAATTTGTGATGTAATTTATAGGTCCAAAGGGCACATGGGGAATGCCAGGTGACTCTGGACCTGACGGATGGCCTGGTCCACCAGGAATTAAGGGTATCCCTGGAGTTCCAGGCAGGTCAGGAAGAGCAGGACCTCATGGAGACCCTGGGAATAAAGGTTTCATTGGTTCCAGAGGGTATCCTGGGAATGATGGAGATCGGGTACTCAAGTCAATTCAATTTAATTTATGTAGCATCAAATCATAGCAGTGACCTCTAGGCATTTTGTACAGTAAGGTAGAGACCCTGCACCAATACTGTGAAGTTATTGTCTGCATATTTTGATCACAGCAGTGTAAATATATGTATATATGTATTAGTGCTGTCAATAGATTCAAAAAATTAACTCAATCTCACAATTTTCTGTAATTAATTGCGATTAATTGCAATTACTTGATCAATAGCCTGGTTGCAATTACAAGTTTGTAACAGACATTTATGCAATATAATGAATATAATGAAGTAAATGCAGAATAAACACAAAGAATGTATGCTGAAATTTAAAGAGAATTTGAATAGTTTTCTTCAATCTTTTAACACAGACTCTCTCCTGTGAAATACAACTTTAAAAAAAAACCCAAAACCTATATAGTAATAGGTAAGTATATGCTAATATATAATATATTAGTGTATACTTACACTAATGTATATTATTATAATATAATACTATATTCTAGTATTATAGCACTGATATATAGCGAGAGAGAGAGAGAGAGAGAGAGAGAGCCTTCATCAGGAACTCGATGGGAATGTGGCGGACAACACTAGAGGCCAAAGCCAATAGCAGAAGTCACCGTCAAGTGCAGGATCTACCAAGGAGATGCTCTGTCCCCACTGCTGTTCTGCATAGGCCTGGACCCCCTCAGTGAGATGACTGACAAGACTGGCTACGCATACCGACTATGGAATGGAGCAGCTGTCAGCCACCTCCTGTACCAGTGGCTGAACAAAGCTGGACTGAAAGACAACACAGAGGCACTAATCATGGCAGCACAGGAACAAGCTCTGAGCACAAGATCCAAAGAGGCTGGGGTCTATCACACCAGGCAAGACCCCAGTTGCAG